AATTTCTGGCTTTCCTCGCAGATCATCTTGGAAAGTCAATCTCTTTAAATATACTTTCCTTTGTCCTCATCGTTCTTGTGTATGGGGAAAAGGTTGATGAGGACACTTAGTGTCTTATTCAGCTGACACTAAGTTTCTGTTGTTCATCTCAATAACCTGGTACACTGAATTAAAAAAATTCACTTTGATGTGACAGAAAGCATGCATCCCGGAGCATTTCAAAGCTTGACAAAGAGCTTAAAGCCATGACTGATAAGGTTGCCGCAGTCATAGAATTCATGCTAAGGTGACGGAGTCCTTTGTCACCGAGTCTTTTTACCTCCAAGGAAACAAGTTGTTTTTGAACTCTATGTTGTCACCTAATTTATCTTGTACGCGTAGTTGAATTCTAGTTGCTTTTGATTTGACTGCCGTAATTGAAAACGTTGTCACCTAAGATGTTTTGTACCTGACACGAATTAATTGTAGCCTTTCTATATGGAACAGGGAGTATATGAAGCCAGTTGAGAAAGTTCCTTTCCATGAAATTTTATGTTTCAAGGATGTCGATAAACTTCAATCTGTAAGTCTTCAGCACTGTTTTCCTCTTGGATTCATGTATCCTTCCATTACTTGCAAGTTTTTTTATAATCGATAATCAATTATTATGTGCTGCTCCTGTTGTATCATTCTGACCAACTTAAACCAAACCGGTTACAGGATCAGTTCTGAGAGAGTCTGAGCGTCATTCTTTTTCTAACTGATTCATAGATGTGAATTGTGTTTTGTTGCTGCTTTCTTGGTGCTTAAGACTTTACAAATGGCTTTCTCTCTCATTTTCCCCTTGATCTGATGTTAATATCTGTTTAGGCTTTACTTGGAGACCCGCGAGGCAGGATCCAATCTGATCTACTGGAATCTCACAATATCCTCCATTGTGTGTGCTGCAGCCAGAGAGGCACAACTCTATTGCCTTCCATGCACGATACATCGATTTTGTGAGTCTTCCTTTAGTTTTATACATTTGCTTTCTCACGTTTTTTTTTTCTTGAAACAATTGTTTCGGTATTACTTTTTCTTGTCTGGAATATGATCTGAGAGACACAAGCTATCTTCAATACACACAAACACAAACTGGCTTCTTTCTCTCTTCTTTGTTTCAATGTGCTACAACAAAACCGTTTGTTATAATTGATTGTTTAGGTACACGCTGGCGCAAGAGCACGCTGATGTTATAAACCTCCATGACTGGTATCAATCTTTCAAGACGATACTTATTCCTCGGAGTAGC